CGTTTACAACCGTTTTTTCTGCAATATATGCCAGGGACCTGTGCAATACATTTATATCTATATTTATATCTATATCTATATTTATATTCATATGTGTGATACGATTTTTCTGTGTACTGTTCTGTTCTAGTTTGTTCTTTGTGTGTCCGGACTGTGAGTAACTCTTTTAGTGCACCCCTCACTGTACTGATTGTATTGTATGTATTGTATTATTATTATTATTATTATTATCGTATCATTTGTTACACTGTGGCTGTGTTGTGTGTGTTAAGCTGCTGTTGCACTGCAATTTCCCTCACGGGATCAATAAAGTATCTTTCTATATATATCAATGTAGGCTGATGAGCCATGAAATCTCATTTACAGTAACACGCTGGAGTAGGGCGCACAAAAGTCACTCAAGACATTAAATATGCAGCACAAAACTAATAATGCAATAAAAACAGTATAACCCATCATCTGATAAATAGCTCTTCGCACCAGTCACTTCAAAACGACACATGGTATAGCTGTAAAAAAGAAAGGGGAAAAGGCATACGTTTAGTCCATTCTCCAAGCTGTACGCCAGGGCACATATTTTCATTGACAAGATGATTTCTCTAGTAATGCAGAGAAAGAAATACCTCCTGGCATGCCTGAGCCACCCCTGGTGATCCATTCCAGAGATCTCCTGACAACCTCCGTTTATACCATCCAGTATGGCTGGTGTTCATGGGAACCTTCAATCGCCAGGATGAAAAGAACTCCTTGATGGGGTGAAGGAATGGAGAGTGCAGAGGGAGGAATTACAGACATGTGTGGGTGGGCTTCAAGTCAATCTCTCACTCCAGGTCAGTAGTGGATGGGAACATTGTCCCAGCTCACCACATAGTTTAGACTGCTAGCCCCTACCTCCTGTCCCTCTTCAGGTGGGATATGTTTTCTACAGTAAACAGAACATCAAGAAACATGATCAGGTGTTTGGTGTTGTAAGGCCCAATTGTAGAGATGTGGGTAAAAATCTCTTGTTATAGCTGCACACAATTATGTTGGGTGGGGGGAGCAATAACACAACATAATACACAACGTGGTTAACCATTCACAGTACAGTGTCTACAATGAAATACTATCTAAGGCACAACAGAACTATGGTGGCACCTCACCTGTAAAACCTAGTTCCTCAGCTCCTTCACTCTTTCACTGTTTCTTTAATTGCTGCAGTACTGACACTACCAACATTTGAAAATATGGTATTGTCTGCAAAAATAGTTGCCTGGATTTCCTGTCAACATATGACATTGTTTGCAAGCATCAGTTTAACAATTGCAGCTTCCTGTCTAGCATTGAAAACCTTGATTTGGCAACCAGAGCAGGGTTTTCCGTCAGTTCTATAAAGGATCACAATATTTTTCTGCGTGACAGAAAATATGACTCCATAAATACAGGAAGAGAGAAACCTCCTCTCACCAATTTCATACAGGAACGTATAACTGAAGTTATATATGATCTCTTACAGTATGTATTCTCAAGTCGGAATACTCTAACAATTGATGCCACAATTAAACAAGTCAAATTGGGCTGCACCATTGGTCCAGCCTCATGCAGAGAAAGACCATGATTTGTGGTCATTTACAATGGTTGCCCATACTTCATCTGGTACCTCAACTCTCGGTCTTCCTCTACCCTTTGAGAAGCTCGTCCTCTCTGAGCTTATGGTATCCCTCTTCCTTCTCTTTGACCATCAATCTCCAACCACAACCAACTCAACAGTGACTTCTTTTATATGTGTTTATAAATTGAGTGAGAATTTAATAATTATTGGAACATCATTTCAGTGTGTATAATAGGGTGTCACCCATGTGGGAGTAATATCTATCAACTGGGAGCAAATGACTGAGGTTTGTTTAATTAGATATTTCTATTCGATTTTTGTGTCATCTGTAGAGCATTGATTTGAATGTTTTTCACTGGAGGTGCTTGTGTAAGCAATGATAAAGTACTTACGGTTTTGCAGAAAATGATACTGTTTGCTCGTTTGGGTTTTGGTTCTGATGCTGTGAGCCACAGTTCCATTTGAATTGTCTTAGAAATCAAGAAAAACTGTAATAATAACACCTCCTCTCGGGGGCAACAGATAGCTGCAATGTCATAATTGCTAACTTCCTGTGGCTGTCAGGTGAAGCTTCCTTTAATTTAGCATGGAGGGCGTTCTGCCACATCACAATGAGGCTGGTCCCACAATGATCCAACCTGTGATCTTGATGTAGCAAGTCTCCTGGAAGGTTTCAAAGCATGGTTCATGATCTGTACAAAGCACTAGACTAGACCATTGGGGCTGGAGTGTTGAGGACCACATGCCACTGGACCTCAGAAATGCTGGAAAGTCATTAGAAATGAGCTGCGGTCCATTGTCACTGAGAACCTCTGGACTTCAGATTGCCCTGCAAAGATCACATCCAGGTGTCGTGAACTCCTGGGACACACCCAGGGGCGAAGAGGTAAACGATACTGATTTTCCTGTAGATAGCAATTACTGTACATATCTTTACCTGTCAGTCAATTTGTGAGTCAGTTCCTGGCTACCAGATAGCCAGGAAGCTGTAGCTTCTAGTTAAAATCTTCATTGTCACAATGCCAGAACATCTTACATGTTGCTCTTCCAAGAGGTGGCTCCATAGTTTTGAGTGGATACACACGTCAAACAACCTTGTCACAGGGAAAGTTAACATCTTCTAGCAATCATTGGTGACAGCTCATTACTGGTATTCCATTTGACAACAGAACGTTCTCTAGTAATGCTCTCCAAGATTTGAGACAGTATATGGTCAGTCGTAACCTTCCTTTTATTTTTAGAACCTGATATAAACAATGTCAATGCTATACATCAGAATCATAGAATAAGAATCCCCCTGTTTCATTCTGGATGTGGCATATCCTTGCAAACATAATAGCTGACAGAGCGCAATTTTCTAGTCTTGCCACAGATTTTCTATCAGAAATTAGGACTGGGGCACTCAAGGACATTCACTTTCACCTTTGGTCTTGTTCTTATATTATCCTTGTGAAAAGTGCATTTTGCCCTGGTTTGAGGTCTTTAGTAGACTGAATCAGGTTTTCCCCTAAGATCTGCCTGCCTTTGGCTCTATCCATGTTCACCTCAATCTTGACAATCTTCCCAGTCTTTGTTGATGGAAAAAAAGACCCATAACAATATACTGCCACCACTGTACTCAAGAATGGGGATGGTGTTGACTGCATGATGCACTGTGTTGGTTTTCAACAGACATGACACATTGCATTTAGAAGAAAAAAGTGTGACTTAAATGTATTGATGCAAACTCAATGTGAGGTATTTTAGATGGGTTTGCCACTCTATCATACGTACCTTAGCAAAGGGGTTAAAAACACAGCTTTGTAGAGTACTGTTGGATATTTGCAGGATTGTGTCGTAAGGTATTTCTGACCCGTGGAGATTTGCTTCCATCCTAGCCATTGAACTCTGGTGCTCTTTCAAAGTCGCAGTTAAACTCGTGGTGGCATCCCAATCCAGTTTCCTTCTTGCCTGGCTGCTCAGTTTGGATCTAGGCAGTGACTGGGTAGACCACCCATTCGCCTTCCTTTTCTTCATGACTTCACTGTGATCAAAAGGACTACGTGGTCTCTTTTTGACTTTTTACACTCTCCTACTGATCTGTGATTGTCTACAACTACATCCCTGAGGTGTTTTAAAAGATCCTTTGGTCTTCATGGTAGAATCTTCGCGTGAAATTCACTACCTGACTGAGAAGCCACACAGAGATATTTACAAGTATATTTTTTTCTGAAATCTTGTGAACCACTGTCATTGCACACAGAAGCTAACTCATGTTGTGCCCCTTGGCTAATTCAGGTTTGCCTAAGCAAAGGGGTTAAAAACTTATGGAGCCTGCATATATTAGGTTTTGAGTTTTCTTTCTAGTTTTTGCTTAAATTTTCAGTCCTTTGATTTTTTTATTTTGAGCATTCGAAGTTTGATTAAAAATAATCACTTTACAAAATGTGTATATGTCTTTTGAAATTCGATAAAATGGAAGATCATTGGAAGGGTGTGCATCCCCATTACAAGGTTGCATTTATATTGCATATAAAGGGCTAAAAGTGCTTTATAAGTACAAGAAATTATAATTATAATAATTATTATTGTTATAAATTTGGGAGTGTTTTAGGTAAACATGTAAACATTTTGACACCGACTTACAGTGAAAGGTAAATCGGCCACTAAAAACAGGAAAGTTATCAGCTTGTTGGGTTCTACGCAATAGTGGCGTTGACACTTAGTTCATTCAAAAACCATCAAGAAATTATAGACCTGGTCAAATGTAAAAATACTAACTTGGGAATTAATAATTATTATTTAAGTGTAGTTTAAGTTTAGAAAGGAGATGTCTATTTGGTATTGTAGCAAACCTTTATTGTAACACATTTGAACAATATGGCTAAAGTGAGCAACCGAGTATCAGGAATAAATGTGTCTTGACTGTCAGCCATGTAGGAAGATGTCTTTGTAACACTGATCATTCCCTCACTTTGCTTGGGTGATCTCTGAACAAATGAGTCTAAAACACAGGAGGCTACATGTCCTTTTTTCCACTGTCACATGTCAAAGAAATAATAATTATTATTAATTCAGTATTATTAAAAAAGGCAACAGAATGTGTCTTTAAGAAGATCTGACAGTCAAACCTTTCCTTCATTATTTAATTTACTCAAACAAAACATCTTTCTAATGTGAAACTGTAGTGTGAAGGATGACTTAAAAGCATAACATAATCTCAGCTATCTTTATTCTGTATCAGAAGGATATAAATATATGACATCTACTGACTGCATTTTAGAATGTTTACACATCTCAGTTCCTAGGTGTTTATTTTTGACAAGTTACCCCATGTACAGTACCACATGTTCAGCAAAGTGATGCATGTGATGCGTGAGAAGGTTAGAAAATAACACTCCCTGTACGGTACATGTTCAGGTACTCAGTTTCATTGGCCAGGTGTGTCTGCTGTGCAGCACAGTTTACAGATTGAGCTTGACAGGCAAGGTAACTTCCGCACTCCGGAGAGGTACAGCAAAGGCTGAGTGCTGCTGCTGATGTTGTAGAAAGAGAAAGCAACATCCTGCACATAGCAAATAAAGACATCGGCGGAGAAATAGCCCTGGAAGGGGAAGAGGGCCACCGGGGGGAGGTAATTGAATACTAAAATACCCAGAATCGAGAGAACCACCCTGAAGGCCTTCTTCTTCATGGGATGCATCTCGTCTCGCCCCGGTCCCGAGCGCCTCAGAGCCCACAGGATGGAGAGGTTGCAGAAGACCATGAAGATGAAGGCAGAGAGGATCATGACAGTGAAGATCTTGTCAAAGTTCAGGATCCCTCCGATGGTCTTGGCCAGCGCGTAGGCCACAGTGACGGCCAGCACCGTGGCCGTGAAGACAGCCCTGTACTTCTGATCTTTGAAGCTGGAGAACATGATGGGGTGCAGCACCGCCATGTACCTGTCCAGGCAGATGCAGCACAGCAGCAGAGGGCCCCCCATGTCTTTGACGCCATAAGCAAACTCTTGGGCGTGCCAGATCGATTTGTTGTTGTTAAGGACAAACACGTTGACCAGCCGCAGGGGCAGCAGGAAGGTGAAGAAAGTGTCCAGGAACGCGAGGTGAAAGATGAAGACATCGGTGCTGGAGGAGATGCCTCTCTTTCGCAGGAGCAGCCAGAGCACGATCACGTTGGCCGGCAGACCCACGATGACGACGATGACCCGCAAGCTCAGGTTGAAGAGCGCACCGGCGGGCCGCTGCTCGCAGCCCGCAGCCACAGCCCACGGCCCCCCGGTGGCGTTGGCAGGGCGGGAGTGAAGCTGGAGGCTTGAACTGGAGTTGAGCGCATCCATCACTGCCTGTGGGATACAGAGAGAAACAACCGCTGCTTCGGGCTCCTGAAAGAAACAGGAAGGGATATTATGGGTCAGTAAACGAGAGAAGATGGGGAGCGAAGTGGCGCTATCCTCTTCCAGCCCAAATACACTTGGGTGCTCTAAACAGGAGCAGCATTTGATCACTCTCATTGTGATCTGTAACAGCAGTGCTGTGATCTGTAATAGCAGTGCTGTGATCTGTAATAGCAGTGTTTCACATAATGTGCGAGTTATAAGCATTATCTGCAAAATGTTTCCTTGAAATGTAATAAATTGTATCTGAACAATTGTATCTGTTAAGAGCAGGCTCGAACCCAGAGTTTTCTGCCCTATAATTTCAGGTCCAGTTTGATTAGCCAATGGGAACTTACAATTACTCCAGCCGACTGTGTCATAGCACACGACTGAAGTGAAGTAAACATTCAAGACTTGGGTTCTGTTGATGTCGTAATGTTCTGGTTGAGCTTTGAGAAATATCCCAAGAGCTTTTTTATTCAAAACGAACAGAGGTTTTGCTGTGACTGTTTAGTTTCCAGCATGAAATCTCTTTGTACTACCCAAACTGTCAAAATACATTTAAGAATTATTTTTTGGGACTTCCCACTGTGCAAAGAGATGCTGGTAGGTTAATTGGCTTCTGAGAAAATGGGCCCTGGTGTGTGTGTGTGGTTGTCCTGTGATGATGGACTGCTGTCCAGTCCAGGGTGTATCCTGCCTTGTGCCTGTTGCTTGCCAGGACAGGCTCCAGCTCCTCTGCAACCCTGTATTGGATAAAATGGTTAGAAAATGGATGGATGGATTTCTTTTCAGGTAATATTTTCCAATATGGTGATTATGAAGTGAAACAAATTCAGACAGTCAGGAGGGCTCACTATAAAGGAATAAGCAATATGTATTTTAGTGATGTGATTCACAATGCTGCGTAGAAAGTTGTTTTCTCAAACTCGAGAGGTTCTATAAGCCCTCAGACATGATGATCAAGCATGAAGCCACAGGTCCTGCCCCAGCAGTTCAGATGGAGATGCATCAACCACAGCTGACAGACGTTTATGCCTTTCCCGAAAGCAATGCTGATAACAATTAACGAATTGCTGCTCATTATCAGTGTGC